GAAAACACACGCTAGTGGGTGTCTCTGACTTAAAAATTTTCAATTGTACATGCTCCAACTCAGAAAGGTCCACTGCCAGTGGGAATTTCCCACTGGTGCTGGATCACACTATCTATTAATTTGAAAAAATTGCAAAGCCTTAAAACCTCTATTTTTTTATAGACACACAAAGTTAAGTAAGAAAAGGAATTAAAAATAACAAATGGGGTTACCTCCCCACAAGTGCTAAATTTAACATATTCAGCCAGACATTATATGTTATTTAGAATCACAAATCAAGTACATCAAACAAGTCTAAGACACTCGCTTGTTGTATTGGTTCTCTTGTCAAGTAGCACTTAAGTCTTTGTCCATTTAATCTAAATGGACCAGACTTTTCGCTCCATAACTCAACAGTTCCAAAGGGAAAGACCTTTGTCACCTTAAATGGTCCTGACCATCGGGACCTCAGTTTACCTAGAAAAAGCTTCAATTGAGAGTTAGATAGTAAAACCATATCACTTGGATTGAATGTTCTCCGTAGAATGTGATGATCATGCCATCTTTTAGTTTTTTCTTTATAAATTCGAGCGTTTTGTATGCATCTAGACAGAGCTCTTTAAGCTCGTTTAATTCCAATAGCCTATGCTCACCTACAACCTTATGATCAAGATTAAGAGTTTTGACAGCCCAAAAAGATTTATACTCTAACTCAACAGGTAAATGGCAAGGCTTCCCATACACTAGCTTAAAAGGCATAGTGCCAATGGGAGTTTTGTATGCGGTTCAATATGCCCATAAGGAATCATCTAACTTAATAGACCAATCTTTACGTGACGTATTTACCACTTTTTTAAGAATGTTTTTAATTTCCCGATTGGACACCTCAACCTGACCACTAGTTTGAGGGTGATAAGGTGTAGCTACCTTATGTCTCACTCCATATTTTTTTAGGAGGGTCTGAAAAGCTTTCTCAATAAAATGAGACCCTCCATCACTTATGATACATTTCGGGACCCAAACCTCAGAAATATTATTTTCTTGAAAAGCTTAATAACAGTTTTAGCATCAGAATGGGGTGAAGCAATGGCTTCCACCCATTTAGAAGAAGAAGAAGAAGAAGAAGAAGAAGAAGAAGAAGAAGAAGAAGAAGAAGAAGAGGAAGAAGAGGAAGAAGAGGAAGAAGAGGAAGAGGAAGAAGAGGAAGAAGAAGAAGAGGAAGAAGAAGGAGAAGAAGAAGAAGGAGAAGAAGAAGAAGAAGAAGAAAAAGGAGGAGGAGGAGGAGAAGAAAGGAGGAGGAGGAGGAGGAGGAGGAGGAGGAGGAAGAGGAGGAGGAGGAGGAGGAGGAAGAGGAAGAAGAGGAAGAAGAAGAAGAAGAAGAAGAAGAAGAAGAAGAAGAAGAAGAAGAAGAAGAAGAAGAAGAAGAAGAAGAAGAAGAAGGAAACCAATCAACTACTGGAAAATAAATTAGAAGAGTAGAAAAAGTTGATTGGTCAACAAAATAGGGCAACATGGCAGGGGAAATCTTGCTCAAGCGATACATATCTCACTTGAGCTAGAAAATTTGCAACTCATGGTGGTTTTCGGGTTTAATTTTGCTTAGGTGAGATATACCTCGCTTGAGCAAGACATGTTGTAACTCTTGGTGGCTCTCACGCTCAATGTTGCTCAAGCGAGACATTCCTCGCTTGAGTGAGACATGTTGCAACTCTTGGTGGCTCTCGGGCTTAATGTCTCTCAACCGAGACTTCCTTGCTTAAGCGAGAAACGCTACAACTTTTGGTGGCTCTCAGGTTTAACATCGCTCAAGCGAGACATACATCACTGGAGCGAGGAAAGTTGTAACTTTGAGTGGCTCTTGGGTTTAACTTTGCTCGGGCGAGGGGACTCTAGCTTGAGCGAGACTAGGTTTCTTTTGGACGAAGTTTCTATCTCGCTTGAGCGAGGAATGATAGCTTGAGCGAGAAATCATTAAAATAGAAAATATATAAAGAGCAAAAGAAGGTTTTGAGTGGTGACGACGTTGGAAAGACACTGGAGAATAAGGTTTAAGAGATTGAAAAGGAGAGGAAGAAGACTAAAGTTCTACCCCTTGACTTCTAACTCTAGTTTGTATATATTCCCCCCATGAGTAGCTAAGTTTATCTTGTATTGAGATTGGATGTAACTTATTAAATTCTTCTGTACTTCTCTTGAATTACATATATATGAAATCTTGCTATTCAGTGTTATTGATTTGATTTTATGATTAAAGCTAAGGTGACTTGATCAACCATCTTTTGATTTTTGATTTGGGTTTATGTTGGAAAATTGAACTTGGATATGTTTAAATCAAATCATCTAATATGTTGTATGCTAGAAATAGATGTGATATTATTAGTTGATATAATCCTGGGCTTATTGCAAAAAGCTTATTTTAATGATTTAAGGGATTGATTGTTATAATAGGATTTTTAGAAACTCTAAAGCAAAGGATTGCTTTGAGGAAATTTTAGGACTCAATAACACTGGGCTAGAAAATTAAATATGTGAGTAAGAAGAAGACAGAAGAAGGACATAAATGAAATTCAATCTCAATACATTTATTTGATAATGTAGTTTCACCAAGTAGTTTTCTGCTTTAACTAAAACTTTCACAGTTAATTTATTAAACATGTTTAAATTTCTTATTTAATTGCAAGTTAAACTTGAATCTATAAATGTTATTGAATACTTTACAAGTCCCTAAGAATACTTGTTTATACTACAACCACCCAATACACTTGCTGGTAAAAGAAAAATTATTGACAAGATTCTACTACCGCACACCAGGGGTTTTTAAATTACTTACACATTGCACTCACTACTT